ACAGCATGCCTCTCACATGAATGTCTTTGTGATTGTAACATCCTTTTTTGGCCAGTCAGATCACCATATCGCTCTCCAATTGAACATATTTGGAGTCTGATGGAGTGTTGCCTACAACCATCTGGGAATGTCAACGACTTAGCCCACCAACTGAACACTGGCAAGAAATCCCTCAGNTATACTGGTGTTTTGGCTTTAGCAAATCGAGGAAAAAATCTTATTCAGGGAAATAAAGGAACAGAAGCAGTGAAATAGAAAGTTCATAAATGCATACACTAAGTAAGGAAGCTATTCATTGTATGCAGCTGCAAGGCATAGCTCTATATTATAAGAATTTTTTCAGTGTATTCATTTACATATCGATGGAAAAATTGTAATTGTTTGTGTCATTTATCAGGTAATCTATTTAAATATAATAATCTAAAAAATTCACTAAATGTTTTTAACCTTATACAGGTTTTATAACATCAGAATTCTTCTGTGTATTTACTATCACTTACATATCAAAGTAATTAACAATAAGGAAATTTAAAGTCATATTATTGTCAGGAAAATTTGTCTTATATTGTTTTAATTTTTATAAATTTATTTTAGCACCATGTTTTTGTAAACCTGCTGAGGAGGGACATGAAGGTCCAAAACTCTGGGAATGTCAACGACTTAGCCCACCAACTGAACACTGGCAAGAAATCCCTCAGGATACTATCTGTCAGCTTTATGAATCAATGTTATGCCAGATACACTGCTCACAAGCCCTATCTGCCTTGATAACTGCAGCTATATAATGGACAGTTTTCTCACTGATTCAGCAAGTACAGGTGTAGCAAAGTTCTTTGGCAATATCAATAGTGGCTGATATGCACTTTTTCTTCACAGTTTACACTAATGCTTTCCTCCTGCGGTCAGTGAGTTTGAGATCATCTGCTTTGGTGTGCAGGTCCACATGCTCCAGTTTTTTCCATTGGCAAATAACATCTGCTACAATTGATTTGGGAAATTCCAGAAGTCTGCCACAAAAAGCTGGTGAACTCTTTTCCAAGTGGCATTTTTGCACACTTCTGGAGGTTAGTATTTGCCAAGTTATGCAGATGACCATGACATGAACGGAAGGAAACTTTTTGCACCCTTTGTCAGGATGTAAATAGCATTTGTCCCTTTTATCAGTGTCCAAATACCTTTGTCCACAATAAAGTAAGTAATAAACAATTGAACTTTAATAATAATTATTGAGAGTATAAATGATGATCTCATGTATTGTCTTGAGTGAATATTTTTAAAGGCATCTAATTATTACAAAACTTTTGAGAGGAATTACAAAATAAAATTTTGCTTCTTTTTAATCCAAGGTTGAAAAACATTATCCTGTATAATTATTTCAAAAGCATTTGAGTCTAGTATTTTTGATTTTGCATTAAATACTACATTAATAGTATTGTTGAAACTTGTCAGATTTTAGATAACTCTTGTTGAGATGTGAAACTTTTAAAAAAGAAAAAAATTGAATTATATTTTTAAGATTTGAGAAACAAGAATTATTGGTTCTAATGTAATAAAAAAATTTCTTAATCATGTTCAGTAGAAAGATAGTAATAATCTAATTCTGTATTTAATTTTACTATTACACAGTATTGTGTATGATTGAATCATAATATATTCTGTAAAAATAATATAAAGTTAAGATTATAGTTGTATTAATTCTGATTCATGACAAAACAAAGTAGCATTCTGAATGATAATTTCTTTACATGGTGCCTGTAAAGAAATTATAAAGCAGCAATCACGGATATAGTCATACTACATTAATTCTGATCCACGATGAAAAAAAATCAGATCCTTTTAAATAATTATATTTACTATTTTTCAAGTAGTATTTTAAAGGAATGGTCAACTTCTATTATTAATATTTTGTATTTTTATTTTTTTTAATTTTAGAAAGATGTACAAGTTACAATAAGCAGATTCTAATCTATACTACAACCTTTGTATTATTGAAGTTTGATCATACTAAGATTTATGAAAAACAATATGAATGAAAAATCACAAAAGCAAATGAGTTCAAGTGAGTTATTTAAACAAACAATATTGCATTGAAGTAACACCTTTCATTACACATGCTAAATCAACAATTGCTTTGATTAATCAAACTTTACTATGGGACTGTATCATCATTTTGCTTTATTACAGATGCAAGATATTTATGCATTAAAGCAACTAGTTTTTCTGTGGTTGGTTTCTCTATTTATTTGTTTTTTTAATTGTTCCAGGGTTTGAAATCTGCATTGTGACACTTTTATCTTTAAGATGTGCTAGATAAATCTAGTTATTAATTCTATAGTTGCCTCATTCCACATCTGTATATCCCCAGACCATTGCTGGTGAATTTTTTTATACTTGTAGATCATGGTATTCTAACTGGAGAAACAATCAACTTACTTAAATAGTGGTTATTTATATAATTACACTTCATGTTTTTTTTAATACTCTAGCATGTAATATATAAATTTCTGCAAACTTTGCAGATTTTAGATGTGCTGTTAGACTGACCGACTCTCTTTATAGGTATAATAAAATGTGTTGGAAATACAAATTAGGTATTTCCAGTAATTGCCAAACTTTATGATAAGGTTGTAACAACTGATTTACTTATAATTTTTCTATAATTCATCCAGTATTGTTTGCCTGCTACCATCTTTAACTGTAGTAATAAATATTGGCAAATTATTTACAATAATATGCATTTTTATGTTTAAAGCACTGTAATGTAAAGAGATCTTCAGATAATCAGAATTTAGTTGTAGTTATCATAATAAGCTTTGTAAATGTATTTTAACTTAAATGTTTTGAAGGTATTAGTTGACTAACAACATCTGTAATTACAATAAGTGGCTTCTACTCTAATAAGAAGTGGTTTGAAAATAACAAAACAGAAAAATAAATTTAACCAAATGTTAAATAAGCAATAGAATAATGATTAATATCATACAAAATATTACATAAAATTATATCATAAATAATTTGTCTGACAAATTATTTAAGTCACAATCCTGTCTTCATTAAACTACTTTAGTGATATGTAAATAGGAACATATCCTTTAATTATTTAGATTTTCCATTTTTAAAAATTTACATATGTATAAAATAAGATTTCAAATCAATATAAAAAGAGTGAAAGTGCCATTTTTAAACAAATAAATTTATTAATTTATATGCCTCTATGTCCTTATTTTCTATTTGTTATATATTTTGTCTACGAGGACAGCCTATTAATAGGACGTATTACACTGGTGTTTTGGCTTTAGCAAATCGAGGAAAAAATCTTATTCAGGGAAATAAAGGAACAGAAGCAGTGAAATAGAAAGTTCATAAATGCATACACTAAGTAAGGAAGCTATTCATTGTATGCAGCTGCAAGGCATAGCTCTATATTATAAGAATTTTTTCAGTGTATTCATTTACATATCGATGGAAAAATTGTAATTGTTTGTGTCATTTATCAGGTAATCTATTTAAATATAATAATCTAAAAAATTCACTAAATGTTTTTAACCTTATACAGGTTTTATAACATCAGAATTCTTCTGTGTATTTACTATCACTTACATATCAAAGTAATTAACAATAAGGAAATTTAAAGTCATATTATTGTCAGGAAAATTTGTCTTATATTGTTTTAATTTTTATAAATTTATTTTAGCACCATGTTTTTGTAAACCTGCTGAGGAGGGACATGAAGGTCCAAAACACAATGTGTGTAAAGAGTGTACAAGTATAATACAAGGTAATCAATAAAGATTGCTTGTTTCCCTGAATAAGATTTTTTCCTCGATTGCTAAAGCCAAAACACCAGTGTAATACAGCCTATTAATAGGCTAAGTCCTTGTAGACAAAATATATATATTTACTTGTTAAAATTATTTTTTAATAATCTGGATGGATGTATGATTCAAGAAATTATCCAAATTCATACAGTAGATCTGTAATACTTTCAGAATTTTAAAAAATGTAAGTATATAATTGAAGTACGTTGCAACAAATAAAACTGTTTTGTATAATGGGTCAATATGCAAATATGTTTTAAATTTTCACTGCATCAAAATAATTAATTTTAACAATTATTATATAAAAAACATATTCATGTTAAGCCATTCAAAATCTTTGTTTTGTGGGGATAAATAATAAATGCCTATACTTATCAGATAAGCATTCAATATTGAATTATTTGGCAAGATATAAATATAATTCTTTAGAAAAAAATGATAAAGTAATCTAAAATTAGGTTTTGATAACAAAGTACCAGTACTTTTGAAGTCAGAAAGTTTCATATTTTTTTGACAATATTTCTGTTAAAAACAATATGAACATAAAATTTTGCTACAAATGTTTCTTGCTTCACAATAATAATTCAAGATTTTTCAAAACAAATTGTCTTCAAAGTTTTTACTTGAAGCCAGTTTATCATAGGATGCAATATTGATTTTACATTAATTCACATTATCTGAATGATGCCAAAAGCAGACTTACTGCAAATTTCTCAAGACTATTAAATCTCTAATTATTTGTTGCTAATATTCAGAACAACTATAATCAATTATTGTACAGCTATATTAGAAATATCTAGTATGACTTCAAATGTGTACAGTTAAATAGTCAGGAACACAACAAAATCACATAGTGGAATTGAGCATTATTCTGAGGGTCGTCTTTATTTTAATATAGAATTTTTTTAAGGTAAAGTTTTAAAAATCAAAAAATATATTGTGTGTACATTTTTTTTTTTTCCCATTGGATAGTCATCATTTCCCCAATCGGGGATCAGAGTCACCCTTGTCCCGCTATCTGCACCACAAGGGAAACACTATCTTTATTTCTTATTTACAATAATACTTTTAAAAGTCTTAATACATACAACTAATTTAATACAATACATTAAAACATAGGCATCTTGCCTTTACACGATTGCGACTCTTGTCGCTAAGGGAGCAACTCGCTCCCTCCCTCCCTCACGACAGAACTTTGCACGTGAAGGTTTTCATATCTTGGGCTAATGTTTTAGTCCTAATGATTCTGTATAAATCCAATTCAGTGGTATTCAGGCATTCTGTGATTAACAGCCGTAGCTGCATCCTATCCATGTCGTATTTTGAACAGTCATTTATAACGTGTTCCAAGCTGTGGTTTCCATTTCCACATTCACAAGATATATCTTGATGTTTGCCGATCCTATTCAGGTATTCTTTAGTATTGCAGTGATTAGTCAACAGTTGTGTCATTATATGATCTATTGGGAGCCAGTTTAGATCATGTATCCTTTCTTGAATGTTAGGAAGCAACCAGAAGGTATGCCGTCCCTTCTCACTGTAGCTCCACTCCTCTTGCCATTCCTGTATGGATTCTTGTCGAAGCATTTTCTTAATATAGGACAATGGTATTTTGTTATATGCTATTTCACTCTGTAATGTGGCCTCCTTGGCCAGAGCATCTGCTCTTTCATTGCCCATAATGCCTACGTGGGCTTTAACCCACTTTATTTTAATATTCAGTTCATGTTTGTTAATTAAGTTCTTAATTTCTAATGCCATAATATTTCTATCATTAAATTGCTGCAGAGAGCAAATAGCAGCTTTACTATCAGTGTTTACAATAATGATGGAGCCGGTCAGTCGGGTGGAGATGATCCATCTCACTGATTGAAGTATGGCAAAAAGTTCGGCTTGGTGCACAGTGCACCGGTCATCAAGTCTGAATTTGTCATGATATATTTCTTTTTCATTTTGCATGACCAGGTAAGAGGCTCCCACCTGGTTCTCAACCTTCGATCCGTCAGTGAAGATTTCCATTTCTCCACTCTCCTCTTCTTCTGCCATTACAATGGCCTTGCGATTATATGTTCTTGGTAGTATAATTGCAGTTGGTTGACATTCATAATCTGTTTCACTGAGAGAAGTCCCATTTAGTATGATATTGTGACCTCTTCTGCACATGTATGTTTTTGCCTTTTCTTGTGCAACTAGGTCAATTGGCGTTGTTCCCGCTATTACCATAAGTGCTTCGGTAGAAGTTGTACGGTAAGCTCTCGTAATTCTTAGCAGTGCTGTTCTCTGCGTGCTTCTTAGTTTCCTTTTTATGCAGGTTTTCTTCGTGGCTTCATGCCACGCACTTGCAGCGTATGTTACCTTAGGTATAAACGCCCCTTTGTAAATAGTATTGATGGCCTCTGTAGTGAGGCCCCACTTAGCCTTGGCCACTCTGGCCAATGCATTAAATAAATTTGTAGCTATCGATTTTATATATTTTGCATGTGGCAGCCAAGTCAAACGATGGTCCAGCACCACACCCAGATAAGTAATCTGTCTTTCAACTTTAATACTTTGACCTTCCATTCTTATGGTTGGTGTTCTTTTGTATAAATCTGGGGTGTTTCCTTTTGAGAAGACAATTGCCCTCGTCTTTATGGGGTTAAAATAGAGCTTTAGCTCTTTTCCCTGATTTGAGACTAGTTGTAATATTTTCTTGCCTTTCTCTTCTATGTCTCTTCTTGAATAATGGTATCATCCGCATATGCCATTTCAATGATTCCCTCTCCTTTCTCTGTCTTCAGATAGTTATCATAAACAACGTTCCAGAACAGGGGTCCTGAGTTTGACCCCTGTGGACATCCTCTACTAAGCACCTTCTCTATATTTGTGCCACTTGCTTGATAGATTATCTTTCGATTACTAAGATAGTCTGATACTACTTCATATATGTTTGCTGGACACTTTGCTGTTCTTAAGGTCTTTAAGATGAGGGGCCACCATGCATGGTCAAAGGCCCCTCTAATATCCAAACTTATGCCGCAACAATACTTATTTTGATCCAAGGTTCTTTTGATACCATCAACGACTTTGCAAATTACATCCTCCGTTGAGGTATTCGGTAGGAATCCATGCTGTTTTGGACTTAGATACTTCAGTTTAATCAGATGTTGTGTAATTCTCTGGCTTATAAGAAAGTCCATCACCTTCCCCATTGTCGGAAGTAGACTCAGGGGTCTGTAGCTTTTAGCTAGACTCTTGTCCACTTGATCACCTTTGGGAATAATAACCAATCTCGCAATCTCCCAAATCTATATTGTGTGTACAGTTGACCCCCCCATAACACTGTAGATAATTTAGTTTTATATGAATTCCATGTTGTACGAGTCACTTAGATTTTACAAATACGTGTGCCGGGCTATGGATGGCTCATGTATTTGTAAAATCTAAGTGACTCGTACAACATGAAATTCATATAAAACGGAATTATCAACAGTATTATAGGGGGGTCAACAGTATTATAGGGGGAAATTATTAACGAATTAATTATTTTAAAGCTTCAATTTTGTAGTGTGTTATTTCTGTATTCTGAAATTTTATTAAATTCAGTTTCATTAAGAAAGTAGTACTCCTAATTTAAGATATATTCTGACATTGGCTTGATGATAGTTTCAGATGTCTTTTAGTACCAAACAAGTTTGATAACTGAACTTTTTCTTAGACAAACACTGTGCTTCTCAATACCTAATTAATTTTTAATATGATTTTCAGTTTTTCAATCAAAATAAATATGTTAAATACAATTCCATGCATGGCTGAAAACATTTGTTCTCACAAGAAACTGCTAGAATATGTGTAAAAAGGTTTTGTAAAACTTATTTAATGTGTTAAATATTCTAAAATGTACAAATCATGTATGCTAAATTAGCTCAAGCAACTCTTGACTCAAATTATGTGATTAATTTGTATAAAATATTGAATTAAATGCTAGTTTTTCAGTTATTTTCAATTAACATTAGTAAATGTTTGGCTCTATAAGATTTAAAAGTAATTTAAGAAATAAACATGATTAAATATCAATATTTTTATTCACACAAAAATTTAGCAATATGTTGATCCATAAAACATCAATAAGAAAAATGGACGCTTCAATCATAGATTTGGTCTACCTCTGGAATATTTCCAGTTGGGCAATAAAAATTGTTGGGTCAAAAAAATTGGATACATTCCAGCACATACAAAATGATTATCACAGTTTGCATGTATATGATATGATTGCTTTATGGAAAGATCTATTCAATGCCTTAATAAAAATGTTACCTATTATAAATATCCATGACACTTTTATGACATTCTGGTTATATAAAAAAAGACCATATATTATTACACCTTTGGGCACACAAACATTCATATGTTGACACTTCAGATACCTGTACCATAATTAGCACCACCTGCTTTCTTTACTTCTTTCCGCAAATAGTCTTCTGTCAAATCATCTGCATTCTCTAGTTGAAGTTCCACTGCAAAGTTCTGTTAAAACATTCTAATTAATTAAGTAAATTAATACTTTATTGTAGTAAAGAAGAATACTTGCCTGGATTATTTGTTTCACTAATGCTTTATCTGTGCTAACTCTTGCTCTCTTAAGTGGACTCACTTTTGGTCCGATCCATGTCAAAAATACAAATTTTGTACGCTTGCTCATTTCATCACCTGCTATGACACGTACAAAGGCAAAGGCTCGTTCGTCATCTAAAACAAATTTAAAGATTATATATATATATACAGTTCTAAAATATTATTTATTAATTGTTCATTCATGATATATCTGAAATTCATAGTAAATATAGGTCAGGCATCACTCCCTACCCCTCACCGATTCTGTGTGTCTGTCTGTCATGGACAATATTCAATCTATAAACATTATATTCTCTATTAGAAATTGGCATGCTCATGCACAGTACAAAATAAATAAATAATTTAACATGAGGCCCTTATTGGCCTCATGTTAAATTATTTATTTATTTTGTACTGTGCATGAGCATGCCAATTTCTAATAGAGAATATAATGTTTATAGATTGAATATGAGTGGCAAACACTATTTGACATATAGTATAGCAATTCCATAAAACAACAAAATTTGTCACTGTTTTATGAAAAACATACTTCAATGTTGTGAATGCACTTAAGAGTTCTGACATCAAAGAATGATTGTAGTTTTCTCTAATCAAGCAGTCATTTGATGTGACTATATACAGATAATTATCTAGTTTTATCTAATCTATTTTACTGTGTACAAATCCTTTTCACCATACAGTGGAAAATGTTGACAGGCACATGGCAACATTTCAATACCCCACACTGATTTTGGGCAAGTGTGACTTATCCCTGTTCAAGCCACATTTATCCTTGGTCTGTTCTTTTTCTTATGCTAGTCCTGTGCACCCTGTGACCTGCTCTTGTAGCTCAGAGGTATTGGGAAGTGAATTTATTGTCTTGCAACTGCAGCAATGACAATGCATAAAAATGAAGGTAAGACAACAAGGTACACCCCCAAATGTTAAATGGTGTAATGTTGCTGCAGCAATACACACCACTGTTCTTGATGACAAGTAGTCATCAGATGAGTGTTTCACCTCCATTATGGCCACTTCATTCTCTGGATCTTAATTCTTGTGACCATTAGTTGGGGGGGGGTCATAAAAAAAAAGAGTCATGCTTCTCAGACAGTGTAATACAGTTGATTATTCAACAGATAAAAAAATGTTTGTCATCAGTAATTGCAATAAGTGAACAGACCTTAATAGTGTAAATAATGCTGCATAATATGGTCCTATTCTGAAGTCAAAAAAACAATATTTTTTGTCACTTGTCTTGAACACAATGTAGAACTGCTAGTCCTGTAGTGGTGTCCCCCTAGCTAGTCCCTGTTGAACTAAATTTCCCCGTGGAAATCTCTTGTACAGTACATCCTGAAATGTCAGATTAGAAAATTTGAATTTAAGAGAAGATTAGATTAGAAAATTTAAGAGGAGTCATTTTTATGTCCATCCATAGTGAGTGGCAAAACCCATGAAGTGTGACCGGCGGGTCGGCACCTCTTCGATACCTCGTCAGGATTGACACGGAAGCCGCGAACGGGGTCACGCGAGCAGTCGCGTAACGGAGCGATCGGGTTCGGGATGGAGTGAGAGATAACGAGGCCTCTGCGTGAGTCACTTCCGGTGCGCTAACGAAACAACGTTATTTGTAAAAGACAAGAAATCCATGTTTGTACAGGGCATCAATAGAGATAGCTAGGCATAATGTCGCGTTCGAGAGAGAGAGTTTACAGGATATGCGCGTGACGATAAATACCTTGGGATAAGGGTGGTGTTCGGCAACAGTCTGGCACTATTCGAGGTTCTCTGAATCGTGTAATCGAGTATCTTGGTCGTTTGCGGTAAAGTTCGTCTTCAAAATAAAAGGCGTATCCGTAGATGAGGCAATATACGTTTAGCTGAGTATTCACAAGAATAAGATGCACAAAAACTAAGTGTATCCGTTCGAACTTAAATATGCACTAGATAGGCGATGATATTCCTTTGAGGGACTGGCGACGACTGTAACTTTTTTGTTCCGTTCTATATTCAACTGATGATATTGAAATATTAGGTCGGGAGGTGATGGGAAAGCGTCGTTTCTGGATCTGAGAACCTAACAGATGTTTTGCTCCTAGGTGTAAAAGTTGACAGTTATTTGACAAGATTGTAACTACAATGCGATGTTATGAGATAATATTGTAAACATAATGAAAGCCAGGATTTGGATTCTCACAGAAGTATCCGAGTCAATTCAGTTTATATTAATTTCTAAAATTTTCATAGAAATTTACAGAATTTTCATAGATTGCATTATAAGGAAGGACCAAGCACCCAAATTCTCCAGTATGGCAGGATGATATCTTTACTATTTACAATTAAATATTTGACCTTGTAATAAATTGTTAAAACCACAGGTTGAAGTCTGGATGGAAATAATAGTAATTCTCAGAATAATGTAGTGATAGCCCTTCAGTAATGGGGAGTTTAAGCAATCACTTAACTCACTTATATATATATATATATGTGGAACAACTAATAGTACTTTAAAAAATTTAATCTGCCATCAATAATTCTTACCTAGCTGATTTTAAATGTAAAGCTTTCTGCATTATAAAAATTATACTAAACATTTATTTATTTAGTGCAATACTTTTAATAATTACAATAAAATTTTTGACAATCATGCTCTTGGTAAATAAAAAAACTTTCAGAATATTTGTATTTGTAATAATATAATACTGTATATATAAATTATTACTGTAAGCAATTTTTGATAAGTTTACATAGAAAATTACTTAAAGGAATTTTCTATAAAACTACGAATTTGCATTGTAATAAAATCATTTTAATATAAATTACATTTATAGGTAAAAATTGCAAATATTCATTTAGTAGTTTTAAAAACAATAATTTAATAGCTATAGGAAAGTTTAATATACGTGAAGTTTCACAAGCAGTCGGAACTATACGAGTAGTTACTCTATAAAGTCATTTACTACATTTAATATTTGATGACGAAAAATATTTTAAAGATCGTAAATGAAATATCTGGCAAAAAAAAATCTTTGCTGATTTTCAAGTAACTTGGTAAAATGATACTCTTTTACTCAGATTCAGTGAATTATCCACAATAGTTAATCCAAGGGATGGGGACAGACCAGAAGTGATGGTCTGTCATCCCTTGGATTTTATTTTATTTGAAATTTTAAACAAATTTAGTAATTTATTTTAGTTAAACGTTTTATTTCTATAGATTATTTTAGTACAGGAATTGATTAAATTATAAAATGCACTAAGAGATCCATCTCGCTTTTTTTCATTATCGATAGATCTGGTATCGAATCATTTGATGATAGGATGTTATACAAATTAAGCAGCTATGGTTTAGAATTCTTTTATGACTACTGTATATAAATATAATAAAATATCTTAAAGATGATTATTTAATGCAATAAGATTCCTAAGACTAAATTTTAGCCAATATTTTATCGAATTTAAACTATTGGTAATGTATTTTTATTTATTTTTTTGGTGTAAGCTTACAGAAAAGAGGAGAAAATTTATCAAAAATGGAATAGAAGCACATGGATTCCTAAAATATTACCCAAGTATAATTCAACAGTATTACCAAAATTATATTTAAATATAGTACGTTTGAGCCGAGTTGTAACAGTGGTTCTCAAACTGAGGCATGAGATCTTTCCAGAGGGAGCGAAGAATGATGAATAATAATTGCATTTGGAGTTGTATTCGAAAATACACCTCGTTATTCTATCTACGAATTTCAGTACAACATAGCATTAAATACATTCGAAACTTGCTTCATTATCAACACTTACTACATTATAGTCATTAAAATTTATCATAATTTGATTTCATTTAGTATATCTCTATATGCTATTTTACTTTTGTTTGAAGTATAACCTTGTACTATCAAAAAGTGACATGAAAATTTTTATTCTAATAAAACGATAGTTAAGAAAACTAAATACATGTTCAGTGTATTTTGAGGAAAATGTAGATGGAAAAAGATTTTCTTACAAAAAAAGAAGTCTCTTAAAAATGAAACAAAAGCAATTGATTAATAATAATCAGCTAATAAACCATTTAAGAGTTATAAACATTTATTCTATGAATAAAATTTCATATAAGTTGAGATTTATAAACTTCCACCGGATCAGATATGAACGATTAGTTTCTTAACGCATCCGTTAATATTTACGAGGAATCGAAAATGGAAATGGTCATTCTTTTTGAAATCATCCTTCCTTTATTCCTTCTAATAGAGGAAGGTTGATTTCCTAGAACAAGTCTCAATATCAATAATAATTTTTTCTGGGACGTATTTAAGGGGAGTGCTTCTGACGCTGCAGCACCCCCTTGTTACCAAATCAATCGATTTCGTTACTTAAATATAATATCTAATTGAAGTGATACGATATGCGTTAAGATTACTTTCAATTTCTTTAGTTACCTAATTTATTAACATTCTCTGAAAAAGGAATAGGCACCTGTCTCAATATGCCTTGAGTAGCACACATATTTCGAAAATCCTGGATATGCCACTGACACAAAGATTATACAACATAAAATTGTTCACTCACATACACACCCTTTTATAAACTTTATTAAACTACATGTTGAAAAATATATCAAAGAAATTATACGTAAAAAAATTGTTGGTAATAATCACGAAATAATAATACAAAGCTTTTAAGAAAGATTTGTAGTAGTCTGCCGGCAATTCGCAACAACAAACATTTCATTCTTCCTCTCCAACATTTTTTCCTTATAGTTTGTATCCTGTAATAATGGAACATAGGATATTTTTTTTATGATTAATTTTTTAAAATCTTTTTCGATGAACCAGAGCTATCGCCGTTTGAACGTGAATCTGAATTTTTCTACACTCTTTAGATGCTCTGTTTTGATTCTTTGATTATCTCTCTCTGGTCTTATCATAATTCTGCTATTTTACATTTTTAGGTCATATACAAATAAATCAAAATCAAATTTAAAACCCAACTGGCTTTTACAGTAAAACATAGGACTACATCTCATATATCATATTTACGAACATAGTACAAAATAAAAAAAATTTTTCTTGAAGAAAATCAATTTAAAAAATCCAACAACGAGTTGCTTAACTTTCCCGGCAACATTTAAAA